TTCGAACCCGCCACCTCAGGTGTACGTGGCTGGCGCCTTAGCCGGTTGAGCTATAGGCGCCAAGCTGATAATAACAGTTCTAACCTCACAAGGTTGTTGAAGAATGAAGGGTCTGTCAGAGGGAAGAGCTTGACACAGTGCCTGCCTTGGTGAGAACAGATCTGTGGCACTTTAACTTGGCCTACTCTCATTCCCCCTTCTCCAGATCCATAGTAGCCTTGAAAACCAGTGGCTTTGTAACTACAGTCACTGGGAAAACCACAACTGGAAGGGCTGATTGGGTTTGAGCTCTGCACAAGTCTCATCCTCAGAACCTCGCGACTGTTTCACCCATCTTACAGCTTCTTGTAAAAGCCCCATTCCAGGGAACTGGTGGTTTATTTTTATTTTTTGAGACAGAGTTTCACTATGTTGCCCTTGGTAGAGTGCCGTGGTGTCACAGCTCACAGCAACCTCAAACTCTTGGGCTCAAGTGATTCTCTTGCCTCAGCCTCCCAAGTAGCAGGGATTACAGGTGCCCACCACAATGTCTGGGTATTGAGGGAGCTGGTTGTTATTTGACCTTTCTAAGAGATTCCTCTGTGGGAAAAGCTCCACTTCCAGGATATCTGTTTAAAATTATCAGCTGTAATTGTTTAACATTTTAGCTTACTGAGTCTTTTAATACTCATTGGGACAAACAAAAGCCTAGCCAGAAATTTGAAAGGAAGATCTTGGGGATGAAATGTCTATAGTGGGCTTTGAAATGCTCTGAAGATGGAGAAGGCTGTGCACACGGCCAGGGTTGTGCCTGTACGGGAGGGACCTGAGGGGCCCCAGTCTCCCACGTCTGTCTGGCTGTCAGGTTGTAAACTCTCTGAATGTTGGAGGCATGTCCAGTCATACATCGAGTCCCTTAGCAAAGGATGGAAAACGTACTGGTTCGAAACATGGAAGGAAACCTCTGCCCAGTCATTCAGCTGACCTAAGCTGACCAGAGACTTGCACAGCTGTACAGTGTAAGAAACACAGACTGTAGGGAATTCATCCAGGCAGAGTCACTGGAGCAGCCATTTTCCACCTGTGTGCTGGGGCACTCGGGCATGCCACAAGAGGTTCTCAGGTGTGCCGCGAAAATCTTCACAGATCATTAATTAAGTTATTTTTGAAAGAAGTTCCAAGGACAGTAAGTATATTCTTTTTTTTGATCAACAGAATCTAAGTGTACAATGGCAGTTTATAGGTTCAAGTGTGCTGTGAGGAAAAAAGGTTGAAAAATGCTGTAGGAGAGAAACAGCAGCCTCACACCAGCAGCCAGGCCAGGGGAGGGGTAGTGCTCCTGAGCGCCAGAGTTTCCACGTTGTTACTTAAAATGTCCACTTTGCAACAAAATGTCTGAGACATGCAAAGTACCAGGAAAGTATGGCCCTTACTCAGGGAAAAAGCAGCCACTGGAAGGCCCCTGAGGAGGTCGCGGTGCTGGACTTACTATAGGAAGGTATGAAATCAGCTGCTGGGGATGTTTAAAGGATCGAAGGGAACCACGTGGAGACGTCCTTGGCATTCTCGCATCTGTCTGTGTGGAAGCCGTAACCATTCTGTAATGGTACCTAGAGCAACAGTGAATGTTCCTGCTCTTGAGAACGCCCATCTCTGTGCTCTGGGGAGGCTCATGTGGAGGCTGTAGTCCACCAAATCTATTTCTATAAATTTCTCTGCAGATTCAGCCTCACTTTTAGTAAGGGCAAGTATACTGGGCTATTTATTGCAGAGATACTTGTAAGAGCAAAAGATTTGAAACAATCAGCTGTTCATCAATAGAGAACTGGTGTACAGTAAGTACGATGGGATATTATTTGTGTAAAAAAGGCAACTCTGGTTTTAAAAACAAATGTCATTGATTACCTGTTGGTAGGGGAGAGGCAGGAAGGGTATTTTCCTCATGAAACTTTATACTTTTTAATTTTAGCATCATGTAAATGGGTTATCTATTTCAGAAACATACTTAGAAAACTAAAGGAAATAGTTTAACAGTAGGGATTAAGTCTTGATGGCGATTCTGAATTAAACTGTACATCTGCTATGAATAAGTTCACAATGAATTTCTAATACAAAGGTAGATGCTTATAACTGAAGAACACCCAGCGT